CACCAGCGGTCCTCTGCCACAGACACTAGCAGCCCTCTGCCACAGACACTAGCAGCCCTCTGCCACAGACACTAGCAGCCCTCTGCCACAGATACCAGCGGCCCTCTGCCACAGACACCAGCGGCCCTCTGCCACAGACACTAACAGCCCTCTGAATCAGACACTAGCAGCCCTCTGCCATAGACACCAGCGGCCCTCTGCCACAGACACCATCAGCCCTCTACCACAGACAGAGTAGCCCTCTGCCACAGCAGGTAACGCGTCCACCCACAGCGCTCATCCAAGCGGCTGCCGACCCCATGTTAAAGTTCGATGTAACCAAAAACTATAATTTCTAAAACATAAATAAGTATTAATACATATTTTAATTTGGTATATATTTAGGTCTTTGTTGGTGAGGGAGGCGCAGCTGTTCGATTCACAGTATGTGGGCGGAAACTATCACTGAGGCATGATTCGAACAGGAGTCGTCAGCGAAGCACTGTTCGAACAAAGTGAATATCGCGCGTGTAAAGTTTCTGAATCATTAACGCGGTGGTTTGCCTGGTGGATTAACGATCATTTAGCCTGCGGTTATGAGGACGGGCAGCGTTTATGAGGACGGGGCGGGCGCCCTGTGTTTTCCAGTCTATAGTCAGGTGTGAGGATTGCCCCTGGCGGTAAACATGGCTCTAGGGCCGGAGGGGAAAATCGACGTTGGATAGAATAATAGTTTAGATAGTGATAGTTTAGTTTAGTTTAGATCAACTAAATGATCAAAATGATAGTAAAATAAATAAAATGATAGTTTAGATCAACTTTTTTCATTTTGTGTTTATTACTGACGTTCTCGCAGCATAGAGTCCAGGTATACTGATAGAGGGAGTTTTAATGTTATTTAACCCCTAATGAATTCGATACCGATGTAAAAGGGTATATATATATATATATATAAAGATATACAGAGAGATGTATATACCACCATTTATCGGTGTTTATACACTGAATGGTTACTATAGTGCTGGATTATAATCTTACAAATGTATACTTGCTCATTGGACAATAAGCTCTTTGGGTGACTTTAAAAAAAATCTCCAAATTACTTGATAGATAATTGTTACGACTTGATAGATAGTTGTTACAAGTTGTTGGGACGTTGTAACATTGTCGTAATTTCGTCGTGTGTTTAGCAGACCGAATTGTACGAGTTCGTCAATAGGAGAAGATATATATATATATATATATATATATATATATATATATATATATATATATATATATATATATATATATATATATATATATATATCAAGACATATGCAGGCGATGAGTCACAATAACGTGGCTAAAGTATGATGACCAGACCACACACTAGAAGGTGAAGGGACGACGACGTTTCGGTCCGTCCTGGACCATTCTCAAGTCGATTATCACACAATCGACTTGAGAATGGTCCAGGACGGACCGAAACGTCGTCGTCCCTTCACATTCTAGTGTGTGGTCTGGTTATCAAGACATATTCTTACTCGTAGACACAACCACCAAACATTGCTAGACATGTCAAGACATTCAGTCATGCAACATTTATCCCACAATTTTTTTTAAATTAATATTTATCTCAGGAAATCTTTTAGGCCTTCCTTGAAATACCAGCCTACTGACAGGCCGACTGAAAGGTGCCGAGAAAGCGTCATTCTGACAACATGACAGTGACAATATGACAATTGACAATATGATATCAGTTATGCCTCTCCTCTTAAATTCAACAGTTAAAAAATACAACCCCAAGCAACCCACCAAACCCAACGAGGTCGATGCATAGTAAACCGTCACTATTACGGTGTACTAATACGTCACCCCTTTTTAACGTATAGGTTGACTCTGTTCCCAGGGCGCCCCCTGGGAACAAATTTTCTATTCCTTCTCTAATAGACGGAATATGTACACAATTCAAAATGATTCTTTCTCTTCCAGTTCTTCATGAATACAAGAGTACAGACGAGGAATTCAATAAGTCGATGAGAACTGGAAATTGAATTCCACCTTTTGCTTTATGTAAAGTGTTAAAGAGAGAGAGAGAGCTTGACAAGCGTCGCATATTGGCGCTGATGAAGACATTTCTCACCAGAGAAGAGCGTCTCATTTTCTATGGAAATTGGATGCCTGACTTCTGTGCTAAATAATCGGGCTTGGGCATCAGGATTTGATGTTAGCACGCCCAGTTAGATCCCTGGCTCCTGCGAAGACTACCTATCCTTGGCTCCTGTGAAGACTACCTACCTTCTAGCTCCTGTGAAGACTACCTACCTTCTAGCTCCTGTGAAGACTAACTATCCTTGGCTCCTGTGAAGGGTCACTACCCCCTGGCTCCTGTGAATGCTCACTTCTCCCTGACTCCTGTGAAGGCTTACCACCCCCTGGCTCCTGTGAACGCTCCTTAACCCCTGGCTCCTGTGACGGCTCATGACTCTTGGCTCCTGTGAATACTCATTTCTCCCTGGCTCCTATGAAGGCTCATTACCCGAAGCTCCTGTGAAGGTTCATTACCCGAAGCTCCTGTGAAGGTTCATTACCTGTAACTCCTGTGAAAGCTCACTACATTTGGTTCCTGTGGAGACTGGCTGGCCGTACTGGTGAAGCCCAAATAGTCATACAAGATTGATAAATGTTCAGAGAGAGAAGTGGTCCAAGAGAGGTAATCCATAACTCCGGACTACCATCCTAACTGGACGGCATCCGTTGCCCCGTCGAGAAGTCAACTGGTTCAAGGTTTGCCACGGGCGATGGGATCCTCCTTCCCTGCGGAGGCCATAGGCATGCAGTAATACAGAAGACTGTATTGTATGAACGATGAGAGCCTCTTGGCAGGTGGATGAATAATTTTAGTGAATCCGCAGGCTCTCCTAAGAGCCAGCTGAGGCACACTGAAGCCTGGATAGCTGGAGAGGCCCCGAACCCAGCTGTTGGCTGTCAGTACCACCTGCCGTTCTGTTCCGCTCTGTCCTCCGCGCCTTCTGGAGACAAAGTCTGGCCGGAGGCTGATGTGGCCATCTTCCTGACGAGTGTCAAGGTGGAAATTCAGAACCCAAGGTCGGCACGGGGCGGCCAACTTGACAGAGCAAATGGTGTGCACGACAGACACACTTCGCAGCCGCCTATGGTGACATCGACCGAGGCAGCAGACGAGGCGACGTCGACAGGCAGGGGAAACTCCTTCCTCATAGTCACCTTGTTCTACCTCGCCTTCTTGCTAGGCGGGCTCATATACATCGAAACAAAGAGAATGGTCATGGTGCCCATAACTATATTCCTCATCGTGATCTCTTTGGTGCTTTTTTTATTTATTCTGTTCTGTGTGTGCTTTGTCATATTCCTTTGATGTTGGGAGTCTAGCGGGAGCCCCAGGGCGCCCGCTAGGCATACCAAGGAAGGAACATGCAGCTGTCATGTCTCGCACATCGATCTCCGGGAGTACCCATCGCGAGGCAGGCCGTTGTAGCCACACAGATTACAGGCTTTCTTAAGTTTAACATTATTATTATTTCAGTCGGCCGGGTACGCTTACATTTAAGTTCTATATATTTATATGACAGTGTGAGACCACGAAGGAACGATCGAAACAGGAATTCCCTTAAGTACTTTCGTATTTAATAATACATCTTCTGAAGGATCAAACCGAAAATCAATACAATATATTTACAATTATTAAATACGAAAGTACTTAAGGTAATTCCTGTTTCAATCCTTCCTTCGTGGTCTGACACTGTCACACATTTTTTCTTTTCATCACGTGTTAATCCGCCAGACTGAAGTTAATATGGAACTAATAGTTATATATGTGGAGAGCGGCATCCGTAGAGTAGCACCACTGAGCTTCGATACAAAAAATGCCTCATTTCTCCAGACACTGCAGATTGCTCCTTAAGTGCTCTCAAAAAATAAAATACTGCCACGACCACGAGGTGTTGATTGCGAAGGCTGATGACGTTCTACACAAAAAAAAATCATACGTGATTTAACATGCCAAATTCATCTTAGGCCATAGGCATTAAATCTGAGATTATCCTCTTTAGTATGCAAGGATACACGGAATAGTACAAAGTACAAGAGGAAGCAAAAGAGGTGAATGAAGACATGAAGTACACAGTACAAGAGGAAGCCAAGAGGTGAATGAAGACATGAAGTACACAGTACAAGAGGAAGCCAAGAGGTGAATGAAGACATGAAGTACACAGTACAAGAGGAAGCCAAGAGGTGAATGAAACGACGTACACAGTACAAGAGGTGAATGAAGACATGAAGTACACAGTACAAGAGGAAGCCAAGAGGTGAATGAAGACATGAAGTACACAGTACAAGAGGAAGCCAAGAGGTGAATGAAACGACGTACACACTACAAAAGGAAGCCAAGAGGTGAATGAAGACATGAAGTACACAGTACAAGAGGAAGCCAAGAGGTGAATGAAGACATGAAGTACACAGTACAAGAGGAAGCCAAGAGGCGAATAAATAAAGGAGGTACATTTCACTTGTGAAGATTGTGTGGCCCGGCTTGGCTAGGCGGCTGGCCCGTGTCCACCGCTGCCTGCGTACGTACCCCGGGGGCACGGAGCCTCTTCCGAGTACGCCTCGGGTCTTCGTTCTTACCCAGCGTGCGGTCTCCGTGCCCTGGATCCCCTCCCGTATAGTCCTCGTGCCCTGGAGCCCCTCCCGTGTTGTCCTCGTGCCCTGGAGCCCTCCCGTGTAATCCCCGTGCCCTCGAGCTCTACCTTGTGTTATCATCCGTGCTTCACAACTTGCGTAGTTCCTGTACCTGAGCCCCAGGAGCTCCTCCCCATTACCCAGCCCGTCACAGCGTTACTTGAACCCCAGGAGCTCTCCATAACCCAGCCCGTCACAGCGTTACTTGAGCCCCAGGAGCTCTCCATAACCCAGCCCGTCACAGCGTTACTTGAGCCCCAGGAGCTCTCCCCATTACCCAGCCCGTCACAGCGTTACTTGAGCCCAGGAGCTCCCATTACCCAGCCCGTCACAGCGTTACTTGAGCCCCAGGAGCTCTCCATAACCCAGCCCGTCACAGCGTTACTTGAGCCCCAGGAGCTCCTCCCCATTACCAGCCCGTCACAGCGTTACTTGAACCCCAGGAGCTCCCCATTACCAGCCCGTCACAGCGTTACTTGAACCCCAGGAGCTCTCCATTACCAGCCCGTCACAGCGTTACTTGAGCCCCAGGAGCTCCTCCCCATTACCCAGCCCGTCACAGCGTTACTTGAGCCCCAGGAGCTCTCCATTACCAGACCGTCACAGCGTTACTTGAGCCCACAGGAGGTGCTCCTCGCCCCCTCTCTCTACCCCAGCCAACACTTGAGTTTGAGAGGCACCACGTCACCGAGCGTGGCTTGCTAGGCTCTCCAGTGCCCGCCACGGTGTCAGTGGCACACGCCAGGTTCATTGTTATATTTTATACGAAAACTGTGAACTTTGTGCCAAGAGTTATGGAAGATAATGTTCGTTGGATGGATGAGCGAGCGCCCCGCTGCCAGGGGTATGGGGCATGGGCCTACCTACCTGGCACGGAAGTGAATGTATGGAAGATACCCATAGCAGAGCTCCCCCTAGGAGTGCCTCTTGCAGGATGCTAGGAGAGGACGTCGGAGGGCAGTGGAGTAAGGTGCCCCCGGGGGGCTATCGTGTCGCCTCCAAAACAGTGAGGTGTGTGTTGGGTATCGGGCACGGGCGGCCACTGGCGCATACTTGGCGTGGTCCCCGGGTGCTGCCACGGTTTTAGCCGCCCAGGTGTGAGGAGCGCGGTAAGCTAGCGGGGCAGTACCTCTGGGGCAGCGCTCAGAGCCGTGCCCATACCCCCGTGTGCTCCGAGTGTTGTCTGCTTCCGTGGTCTTGGTGGTGGGTGTGCTAGAGTGCCCGACGGAGGAGCCTAGGTGGAGTGCTGCGGCGGCGGCGCGCGTCAGTACCTCGGGGGGTAGTGGGTATAGCGCATGCCCATGTTTCGTATAGATACCCCGCCTGAAGCTGGTGTGGGGGTGGAATAGTGCGGGCTCCAGAAGGTGCGTGTCCAGTCGGGGGTGAGGGATGATGCGTGACCGAGATGCCATGTCTGCTAGCAACAGCGCCGCTTCCTCCTCTGCTGGCGGAGGCGTCGTCATATCCTCCAACGTCGTAGGTGAAGACCCCGTTCACGCAGGGGGCAGCAAGGATGGCAGGAAAGGCCGCTCCAAAACCAGAGGCAATGAAAAGCCCAAGAAGAAGAGATTCCTCAGCTCCTCCTCCAAATCCCTGTCTGCCATTCCGGACCGGATCCAACTCTCCATGCTCAGTAGCGGCCTCATCAGCATTAGTAAGTCCAAAAGTTTTCTTGTATTCTTCTCTCAAGTTCTCTCAATTCTTCTCTCAAGTTCTCTCAATTCTTCTCTCAAGTTTATTTTAAATTTCATTGATACTCATTGTTCTTATTTCGTGTAGAGTAACTTATGCTAACTGTGCCACTGGGAAGTGCATTACCTACCGCGATCGCCCTCGCTAGAATATGCGAACATTTGTTTTTTTGGTAAGAAAAAAAGTTCCCAAATACCAATCTCCGTTTTCTTTTGGACTCCGACTGCAGTTGACCTTACTAATTAGTTTATTGTCAAATGAAGTGCAGCCTCTTACACACCATCTAGGAAATATTCATGGATTAATTCGTTCTATTTTCACAATACGTCACTTATTAAAATTCCCTGGGGGCTTCCCCCCCTCAAAAAAGCTTGGTCCCTTGAGATTATGTAGATAGTGCTCTGCCATTTTCTAAGTGACATGCTATTTATACCTGAGAGACGCTATGTTGGCGTTCGTGAATTCCTGAACACGTCATTCAATTTTATCTCGTTCTTTACTGCTGTTTACTGAAGAGGTTGGACCTGTACCCCAAAATATCCACTTATCTTCCTCGTCCATTTTGATCGTGTCAAGTTTCTACACGAAACTACAAGTCTACAAGACACAAATTGCTGTAAGATATTATGTCTTATTGGGGCGTGTTGACGACGGCCCTCATTCAACCCATACAGGAATATTTTGAAGATAATTGATCGTGTGGAATACTTTGGCAGGTTCATGAGGTTGACGGTAGATGACTGAATGTTGTAATGGGACATTCACGCAGTCCAAAAAGTGTTGATTGAAAGTTTGCACCGCTTGCTGATGTTATTTGACTGATTGTAAACTCTCTTTATTTGACTGAATGTAAACTCTCTTTATTTGACTGAATGTAAACTCTGTCGGCAAAATTATTCGTTTACCCTACAACGCTGTGAAGGGTTGAAATAATAATAATAATAATAATGAAATAATTTAAATAATTTAAAGAAATCTCTGACTAATGTTCATGAAATGTCCTTTTTATTTTATCCTTTATAGCACAGTAGTCTACGCCTTCGGCTCATAGTCGTGAGACCCAAACTAATTCCCCGTTGACCGGACAGGAACCCTTAGGCATATTTCTTTTCACCTGATGCACCTGTTCATCTAACAGTTAAATAGGTGCCTCCGGGAGGTAGACACCTGTTCTGGGATGCATCCTGGGACCTTTGATTACCTTAAGTACGGGTATATATATATATATATATATATATATATATATATATATATATATATATATATATATATATATATATATATATATATATATATATATATATATAATGCAGGGATAGATGTTAAAGTGGAAAACTAAAAAGTAGTGAACAAGTTTCGTGGGAATCGTAACACAGTACATTTTTTTATTTACACAAAAATGTTAATATTATCTTAAATGTCGTGATTGGTTCTGTGTCGCCGCCTCTCGCCTCTACCTGGGCCTCTCTTGATTGGATTTGGCTCTTTTGTGTTGAAAATGGAATTGGCTTCAATTGTATTAAGGTATCAAGGGGCTTCTCCCAGCTATGAATTTTCCATTTCTTAATACAGTCATATATTTTCATTCTTTTTTTGTAATGCGGAATTGTTATATCTGTCTGCCTGTTTGTTCATGTGGGTAATAATGAATTATTTCCTGTTAGCGGCAAGGAGCCAGAGAACGGCCTATTGACATAGCTCGAGTGCATGTGGGGGAGTTGTGTAAAACCCTGGTTTGTGTCTCGGAGAGGCTGCAGGATCCAGTAAGTTCAGTAGAACTTTTGGTTTCAACTCTTTTTTTTTGACCATGTCGTAGCTCAGTTGATTAAGGTAGGGTCTGGGATGCTCCCGGACGTAGGTTCGAATCCTCGTCACGGCCCTTGTGGATTTGTTGCCAGTGTGGTTCTTTGGTTAACATGTTGGGTGGACAGGTCTTCTGTGAGATCCCCGTCTCTCTGTCGGGGATCCATAAGTGACTGGTGCTGTCACTTACCCGTCCCTTGCCTCCCCAGTGTGGTGACCCCACGAGTGTGACCCCACGAGTGTGACCCCACGAATGTGACCCCACCAGTGTGACCCCCGACTAGTGTGACCCTCGTTTACATGGGGGCAAGCTGTTAGGTTTCTTCGTAAAAGGGCAATTTTCGCCAGGAGAGGGTATTGAAGCTGACCAAAAGTCAAACTAGGGTTTCCGTGCTAGTTGCCAGCCATCACAAGTAGAGCGGTCTGGTATTTGATGAGGAACTGTAGTGAAGTGACCTTACTGAGTGCCTGTTTTGGTCTTGGTGGGCGAAGAGGGCCAGGGGATAGAGCCGGCTCTATCTCTTGAGGTCAGAGATAGAGCCGAGATAAAGCCAGTAGACCTCTATTTGAGAAGTAGAGGTCACGAGATCAGACTTAGACCCGAGGAGGTCCAAGGGACGTCAGAGATAGAGCCAAGAGAGTTCTCAGATAGAGCCAAAAGAGTTCTGAGATAGAGTCAAGAGAGGACACGAGATCAGAGTTAAAAGGAAGGTCGACACCGGTCAAGAACACACACATGCCAACCCGTTCTCACAATTTTCCACTACGTAAAAATATGCGACTGTTTTGCAAAACCAGAAACGTACAAATCCTAGCAACACGCCTATCCTACCAAGGCCGAGTCATAGCAAACGTCAATATTATGGCGCTGTAATATTTAAAAATAAGTCACATATTTAGCGCTCCATAAAGCTATGTATATCTCCTCATGGGGGCTGACCGTAGCCTCATGGGGGCTGACCGTAGCCTTATGGGGGCTGACCGTAGCCTCATGGGGGCTGACCGTAGCCTCATGGGGCTGACCACAGCCTCATTGGGGCTGACCATAGCCTCATAGGGGCTGACCGTAGCCTTATGGGGCTGACCGTAGCCTTATGGGGGCTGACCGTAGCCTTATGGGGGCTGACTGTAGCCTCACGGGGCTGACCGTAGCCTTATGGGGGCTGACTGTAGCCTCACGGGGCTGACCGTAGCCTCATGGGGGCTGACTGTAGCCTCACGGGGCTGACCGTAGCCTCATGGGGGCTGACGTCTAGAATAGTCAAGGTACAACATGGTCAGCGAGACGTCTCCGAGGAGCTACAAGGCTCACTCCCGCGTCGGGGCCTGACAGGTGCTGTACCGAGGCGTTGACGGCTAACTGACTCACCCACAAACCCAGTTCTCTAAACGTCATCAGCGGTAAGTTTGCCTCCCGGAGGGTGACCTTGACCCGCTTGTGTCTCCCCTCCTCCGGTATGTACTTGCCAGCGCGCTTTTTATGTACTCAAGGGGAGAGGAGGGGACGCCCTCTCCCATCTCGGCCGGGAGAGGGGAGATGGGACGGGATGACTGATTGGCACGGCAAGAGGGAGAGTATACCTGAAGAAATCATGGTATAGAGGTGAGAGGCAGGTATGGGAAGGTATGAATCAGGGGGGGATTTTACCTGTAGTGTATTTCCAGAGTTCTTCTATTCCACGAGGTTGTCTGGTGATAAGTTGATCAAGGAGACTCTTGCTTGCAGTGGCTCGCAGCTGGCCCGCGTATGACAACCCCTGTAGGTGCAGCACTTCCTGAAGGGACCCCTGGAATTCCTTTTTTAACACGTTTCTTCCGGTAATATTTCTTACGTTTGTTGGGAAGATTTTGTATAGCGGAGGACGTCTTTGTTCATGCTGGGTTCTCTGTCTGTGTCTGTGGCGCCGCTGCTCCTCACTCGCACTATTTTTGTAATTATTTCCATATTTTTGACTCTGGTATTTTGTTATACATGTTTGGGAACTGGTCTTCTTGTATCTTTCATGTATGGGATATATCTCTCTCGTCACCCTTTCGAGAGAGTATATTTTGAGAACTTTGAGACGGTGCTAATGAGTTAGGTGCTGTATCGTGTGTGTGTGGGTGTCGTATATGTTCTCTGTATGCCCTCTGTTTCAGCAGTCTCTCCTGCTCTGTAGGGGAAGTGAGTACCGAGTAGTACTCAAGACGGGACATCAAAATGAGGATTTGTGTACTAGGACCAATGTGATGGGATCCCTGGATATTTGGGGATTCTGATGGTCCATCCTATCACTTACTTTGGGCTTATTCTATATTTGCTTCGTTATGTTCAATGAACATTAACTTGTCTGTTATCATCATTCTCAGATTCTTTACGTGTGGTTCTTTCTATGAGACCATTTGATCGCGTCGTGTACCCTGTATTTCGTTTAACCTTATTTTCTATTGGCCAAAGACTTTATTGGTATCGGCATGTAATTATTTGTTTTTCATGTGGATTTTTGTATCATCTGCAAAAGATGACACAAAGCTGTGACTTGTATTTTTGTCTATATCTGATATGAGAACGAGAAAAAACATTGGTGCGAGGATATTGCTTTGGGGGTACACAGCTTTTCACTGTACTTGCGCTTGATTTTCTATGTATGCGTTCTGTCTGACAGGAAATCGAATATCTATTGCCCTACTTTACCTGTTATTCCTTAGCATCTGAGTTTATGGCGTGTCAGTTCATGGCCTAGCATCAGAGGGCAAGAGAAAGAAAAGAGCGAATGGGGTTCAAGTTTCTGAGTCCAAGTGTCTCTTGATTGAAGGGCACTCGAGGGGAGGGCTTGGGGAGAGAGAGGAACAGGTGAGGGGGCATCAGGGTAGAGGGGTACGCTGCTGTAGGGCACTCGAGGGGAGGGCTTGGGGAGAGAGAGGAACAGGTGAGGGGGCATCAGGGTAGAGGGGTACGCTGCTGTAGGGCACGCGAGGGGACGGGTATGTCAGTGAGCCGCGGTGAATGTAGTACACGCATTTATAGACTTAGAGTAGCTCTCAAGTGGGTCAAGGCTTGGAATGTTGAAGTGTGACCACCTGTGTATCTCGTCCTCCACTGGCATTTCGAGAGGGTACGAGTTGGCCCAAGCCCCCCGGGGGAGGGGGGGCAGGCTGGGGGGATAGTGTAGGACTGGA